GGACATTATATTTTAGTGAATTTCTCTGACATCATACATGTCACATGACACAACCTGGGTGTCCTGTAAAGAGCACATTCAGGACTTTTCAGAGATACCAAATGTTTGGAGGTTTCACCATGAAAACAACTTCTCCTTGGTCTTTAAAAATGTCTGACATTAATTTAGTGATCAAATGTAGCATTCTTATGGAAATATGATAATATAGTGTAATTATAATATAAATTGGACTACTTTTCAAATTGTATTTCATAAAACAACATCTCAGGAAAATGTTAAGGGGTTTAAAAAAAAAAAAAAACTTTCTGTTACAGAACAGGGCATTGATTTCAAACGTGTCCACTGTAGAGGACATCAGGACTAAAATCATGTTTATCAGGCATTCTGGGAGACACAACAAGTGAATATGGAAATAAATTATACATCAATATTCCTATGAAATGTTAGATATTATTATTAAAATGTTGCCAATTATTACTCCAATTATTACCCTTTATTCTTTCATTAAATGTTGCTCCCAGAACACATTAATGTGCAAATTAGATACAGTGTATAGATACATTGCATTGAATGGGAATATTAACTTATGGCCATTTTACCCACATATTGCAAAAAGTAAAATGGTGTATCAATTCATTCCATTATTTCTTTCATAACATAGGTGAGAATAATCTTTATACAAATTTTGGTTGAAAAAATCCTGAAACCCCAAAATGTATTGGTGATTGAAAAAAAAATCCCATTGTTTTTGCCTATACATATAATTTCATGTCATTTTATTTTTTAAACAACTTAGTCCTGGCGTCCACTACAGAGGACATAGCATAACGTATGAATAAAATATTATTTTATATATATGTTTTTTTACCATTTGTTTATTGTGCTCTAAACAGTGTGATGACATGGAAAAAAACTAAATTCAAAAAACTTTTTTTTTCTGGGTCTCAGGAGGATATCGCTTAACAATATAGAATTATGTGCAAAATTCAAATGGGTTCGATACTTTTTCTGGTCCGCGCCGAATCTATCCGCTTTGTGCTATCATGTCTCTGGACCGGAACAGACTGTGTACACGTGACACTAACGTGAAGCCAGACTTCATTCGCCCCCAATGGAAAGCATATTTACACTGTCTGAATCGTTCCCTATCCCCTATAAATGTACCAGTCACCATAGTAAAATAGTAAATGTGTGAACAAGTGACCAATTTTAGCTTCAGCGTCTATTAATAATGTTGGGGGGCGGGACACTTTAGATTCTAGAGAGCATTTAATTGGACAGAAAATCTGATGAGAAGCTGAAGCGCAGAGTGATGTCATCAAAATATTGATCCATATTGGTGGAGGTGAGAGACTGTAAGTTTTGAATGCTTATATCTCCTAAGTGTGAATTTTGTCATTGCTTCGGAGAACACCAGCTTATAGATAACAGTAAGGCTAACATATTCATACTAAAAGCCAAACAACTTCAGTTTTGATTTCATGGGGACTTTAAAGGTGAACTCCGGCGCAAAATGAACCTTTGGTCTAATAAAACATTGGTACCTAGTCAACCGTTCTCTGAGATTTGTTTTCATGATAATCGAATGTAAAGAGTTTTATCTCTAAAAACTGTTTAGCATATAACGCTAGTAATGGGGCCATTTAATAAGTAAAAAGAAATCGCTAGTTAAACCACTAACAAGGCTCAAAATAGCCCCACACGAACACAGTAACATAATGAGGGTCCCTACATGCAAAACGAAGCATTGAGAACTTTGTAAGTGTACAGACCGTTTAATAATGCTTCGTTTTGCATAGGGACCCTCATTATGTTACTGTGTGGGGCTATTTTGAGCCTTGTTAGTGGTATAAACTAGCGATTTCTTTTTACTTATTATATGCCCCCATTACTAGCGTTATACGCTAAACAGTTTTTAGAGATAAAACTCTTTACATTCGATTATCATGAAAACAAATCTCAGAGAACGGTTGACTAGGTATCAATGTTTTATTAGACCAAAGGTTCATTTTGCGCCGGAGTTCACCTTTAAATTCGCAACTTCGAATGGAAACAGAGAAACAATAGAAGATATTTTAAAGTAGTGCTGATTTTCACTTTTTTTTTTAAACAACTAAAATTGTGCTCTAGATTTGTCACATCAGCAATATTGTAATTTACCACTTTGCTCTGAAAGGCAGTACATTTACAACACAAACTCCAGTGCTTTATGCAGCGTTTGGTGAAAACCGTGGCAGTATTTTCTCAGACAGTGGTGCCCTTCATGGACGTGCGAGGCCTGCGTTATGAAACTTGCGACTCATGAGAAGAGAGAGAAAACAGGAGGTGACGGTGGGGGTAAACCGGAGGAGGTGCTATAATTTGAAAAGGCAGTTGTTTATTGTTGAAGAGCATGTATTTATTTCATGACACCGCAAATTGTGGCTAAGGGCAGAGCCGGGTCTCGGTGGGTAATTACAGAGCTTGAGGCAGCGCCCCACCACAGCAGCGTCTCTTAAGAGCCTCTGCTTTCCCTTCACACACACACACACACACACACACACACACACACACACACACACACAGTCAACGAGGACTTGCCATCTATGTCCATTAGACATACTGCACAGTGCACACACTTGCTGAGGAACCATCAACATGCTCATCACGCAACTAGCATATTGTATTATATTATAGGTGAAGTATGCTAACAGTCAAAGTTTTGATGCATTTGTCTGAATTTGTTTCTCACGGCTTTAAATGCTTGAAAGTACATAGCAGACAAACGTTTGGGGTCAGTACGTTTTTTAATAATAAAATAAATGTCATCTCTTATGCTCACCAAGGCTATTTAGTTGATCAGAAATGCAGTAAAACTGTCAAATATGAATACAATTTAAACTGTTTCTATCTTCATATATTTTATAATGTAATTTATTCCTGTGACTGCAAAGCTGAATTTTCAGCATCATTACTCCAGTCTTCAGTGTCACATGATCATTCTAATACGCTGATTTTCTGCTCAATAAATATTTCTGGTTATTATCTGTATAGAAAACAGTTGTGCTGCTTAATGTTTTTGTGGACATTTTTCAGGATGTTTTATTTGAAATATAACTTTTGTCACTTTTGGTAAATTTACTGAGCACTTGCTTAAAGTATTTAAAAATAAAATTAATTTCTTTAGAAAAGAAAATTGTTTATTATTTTCTTGAATAGTTGATCCAGATGACTTTTAATTAGAGTTAAAAATAAATAAATAATTGCCACTTAATCTCACAATTGTCATTTTATATTCTGTGTAATTGTGACTTTATAATTACCAGACTGTTTATATATATATATATATATATGTTTTATATATAATAGCGAATCTATATCTCAAAATTTTACTAAAGTCACAGTTGGGACTTACAATGTAACTCTTAATTTTGTAAATTCTCATGAAGTTGATTGAGTGAGTACAGCTATAATCTACTGTATGAATATATATATATATATATAAATCATTATCTTATTCAGTTTGTGCTATTTTCTAGATGTTATGACTTTGCATTGTTATAAAATGTGGAAAAACAGTAATAACAAGGAATGAGTGGGTGTGTCCAAACTTTTGGTTGCCAGTGTGTGTCACGTATGCCACCCATAATGAGTCACATATAATGTATATGTATATAGGTAGAAATAGCAATCTTGTTGATTTGAGGTGCTGATGTATATTTTTGGCTCTTTTTCTCTCTCTTCCAGTCAGTTGGCAAGATTTCTCTTTGATTCGCTGTACCCCCCTCTTCCTGTCTTGGTTTACCCAGTGGGAAGGACCTGCATTCAAGCACATAGTCACACCAACTTTGGCACAAAAACAACTAAATTGCTACTTTTCAATTGACAGCAACTATGTGAACAGAGGTTAAGTAATTAAGGAAATTGTTAAATATTTTCTCTTGATGGTAGGCCATTTTTTTCCCCTGTGGGCGTTTTAAAATTTCTCTTGTTTGTTTCTAAATCTGTGCATGGAAGTTACGGTAATTGTTTCTGAGGTGCACCCCACCTTGCGCACAGTTATGGATGTGATTTGCTAGAAATATGCCTGTGAATCTAAAACAGTCCTTCTGAGGTTTGTTAAAAACTGAAATACACTATCAACAGAACATGCTAATTTTGTCACAAACTTTTCTCTCATAAAGCTCACAGACATGTAAACATTTAAAGTATGTACAAATAAAAAAAAGTAGCTGTCCGGTTTATCTATAGAGTGACCAGACGAAGTGTGGATGAGGTGAAAATGAGTCTTGAGATATTTAAGACAATCCTTACTGTGGTTTTAAAGAGAAGGATGTCTTGCTTTTTTGGGAGTGAGGTTTGTGGTCAGCTCACTGAAGAAACATCTACTATGTGGTTATGCAGCTTCTTTTAGTTCCTTGGAATTGTGACATATGGAGTTATTCAGGACTCGAGATCTTCCTGTGGCTCCGTGTTACAAAGTTGGCCATAAAAAGTTGTGAAACGATAAAAGATGTCAAACGATAATAGCTTCTTATTTGATGCGTTACATAAATGTAATTTTTTTTTAATGAAAGTATAATATAATGAAGTTCAGATGAGTCTCCTTGACCTAAAAAGCAACATGTATGCTCTATTACAAACATAAACGCTATAGTCAAATAATTACAAATGCCTGGTTTATTTACTAATGAGTTAAGTATATCATAAGTTATTTAGAAGAAAATGATCACACACGTGTATATACGTATACACTCAGATAAAAGGTTCAAAAGCTGCAGGGGTGGTACATAAATGTTATTTGAACCTTTTAAAAGGTAAATTGCATATGAGTGTATGTACTGTATAAAATTGATTGCAAATATACTACAAAGCGAACAACTGCTAAAAAAAAAAATCACAATTCTGCTGGAGAGGCATTGATGTGAAACACTTTGAGATAAAGATGGAGACATGTGGGAGGGATGTAGAAGTGATGGAGAGAGAGAGAGAGAGGGAGAGGGAGGAGAGGGACAGAGTGTATGTTCAACTTTCTCCTTCATTCATTTTCCTCCAGTCCGTGACTGACGTGACTTACGTGTGGCTGCCAGGTGAGTAAAGTTTGACTTTTAACTCTTTGGTGCGTTTGCTTGGGCTCCTAATGATATGATTGAATATGTGTTTCTTCTTCTTCTTTTAGTGCATGCTTTATGTTATAGTGGGTTTTATTGATTGATTCATGAATTAAGCCCATGATTTCTGGCCACTTACCAGGATGAGGTTGAAATGTTATGTGCATTTGATATACATTGATATCTATTTGTATATACATTGATTTCTATTTGTATCTTTAATAATGTGTCTCCATATAGAGATTTAGAAATAATAGCTTATTATTCCTGTTTGTTGTTTGGATACTTATAAAATCATGTTGCTTCTTAGGCCTACATACGCAAGGTTACTGTTATCACACCTCTAATTAAACTTTTCGTCCATCTAACATGCCCCAAAGCAACATGTACAAATGGGTTATGTCAACCTCACTAAACCTGTTAAGAGCATGTCTGAGTCATAATTATCTCCAAAATAAAAAAAGAAAGAAATCAGAAATAATATTTGGGATATTAAAGGTGCGTCCCAATTCACTTACTTATGTGCTATTCTATGACGTTTTGTAGTATAAATAGTGCGAGTAGTGTTTTCACACAGAAAATCCCCAAAAGAAAAAGTGCACTTTAAATATGCACGAAAAAGCAAAGGTTGTAATGTTGGACGCTTCACGGATTCACCTGACGCAGCTTTAGTTCCATAGGGGAGGGGGATGGGCTATCAGACCTCGATGTTGATTGACAAAATAACCTTATAAAAATTCATACACTGCACGGTTGAGTACATAGTTGCATAACATTTCCTACTTCCCACTTCTGAAGTTGTGATTACGAGCTAGTCGCATTAAAGTGATTTGTTGTCGGAAAGAACAGAAATCATGGAGGACACCAGGTTTATTATTGCCTATTGTGAAAATTGTATTGAAGCCAAAATGATATTTAGCTCCCATTCCTTGAAATGGTTATTCATATATGTAAATATGCACTACTTTAACGACACAAGGTGATGCAGCTGTTGTAGAAAAAACGAATAAATAATTCCAAAGGAAGTTGAAGCTGCCTCCGGGGGCCGCCATTGTAGCTGGCTATCACCTGCTGTTAGCATCCCATTGACTCCCATTCATTTTGGCGTCACTTTGACAGCGAATAACTTTACATCTGAGGCGTCCAAAGACTCCATTTGTCCATTATTTATTTCTAAAGAAACACGACAATGTATAAAGGGCTCCATTACTTTGTATCTTACGTTATGGCCCCGTAGAAGCCATTCTTGTAAAAATAGGCTAACAATTGCGTCATAACCACGGGACGCTCTGTCGCACAGTAGAGAAATCACCGTATAGACAGAAGTAGAAGCTCGTAGGCAATCGTTTACTGTCTATAAGGCAATCGGGTGGACATGGAGGCATAAAGTCAAGGGAGAAGCCCATAGATAGAGAGTTCATAAAAGCAACGGGACAAAATATTTCAACAACAGATTTGTTTCAGATTTCAATTCAGATTTGTCCCGGCACAGCTACTAGAAGGTCAGAACGGTTGCTCACGTGACAACTACGTCGTCAAGCTCAGTTTGAGCCTGCGCAGAACGCTTGGCTATCAGGAAGTGAGTGCCCATGTTGGGCTTCAACTCTCTCCGTTGAAATCAACGGGGTGTCCATTTCTTTTACTGTCTATGAGGTTCTCCCCTCCGCCATGTTTAAAGTTTGTGGCCCGCCCAACTCGTGAATTTGGGTGTTAAAATTATCCCCTAAGCTTCCCAGTGAAAAAAACGACTTGAGAGAGCGTAATGTTACATTTTTAACTAGAAAACTTGTATTTACGATAATTCTGATTGCACGTGAAGGCAGCATAAATTCACAGTGTGTTTAGTGCGTCATTTGGGATGCAACTTAAGATTTAAAAATGTAAAATAAAATGTATTTTTTATTTAATTTTATTAGTTTAGTTGTCATTATGAAAAAAATCCAATGGTCTTCAAATAGATTTGTCTTTATACAAAATATAATTTGTTCCATTTTTGTTTTGACGTTGAAGTGAAATGTGGCCTGCCATAGACAGTATAAGAAAGTCACTACCTGACACACTACTAAGTCTAAAATTTTCAAATGCATTTTTTCGTTTTCGTCATTCAGTGGCTCTGAATTGTCAAAACGCCTCTCAAAATGCTTGCTACGAATGCAAAAAAAACCCGCAGAAAATCGAACCCGATCCTATTTTTTTTATGACGGATAAAAGTTTCGGAGGCAGTGTGTAAACGTGATCGACACAACGTGAGGTCGTATTTATTTTTTAACGTGCGAAAATTTCGGCCGAGAATTTCGGACTCTGTGTGCAAGGACCTTTAATATTTCCCAAATTATCTTTTTAACAGAGTTGTTTAATGTTCTGCTAATTTTTAAAACTTCTTTAAAAATGGCTTTTGCAAAACATGTTTAGACAAAGACTCATATCAGTAGCTTAATAAAAGCAGTTTCATTTTACATGTAGTGGGTCACCTCATGGAGGCTGCCATATTGAGATCACATGACCAGCCGAATAGTTCCTACTCAATTTATCTCTATCACTCACTACTATTTCTGTTAATTTAATTTAGTAGTTAATTTACTAAGGTGGACCCCTGTTGTTTTCTATTCCAGAAGCCTCATCTGTGTGTAGTCATGATTCGGGCCATCTTTCCCTTGTGTGTTCTTACCTTCACACTCCTTTTTTTGTGGACGGATGCACGTCCCGAATCCCCTGTCCGGTCAAGGCGTGCTCCCGCTGCCAAAGTGCGACTGGCAGGTATCAATCACAGAGAAAACGAGGGACGAGTTGAAGTCCTGCACAACGGGACGTGGGGCACAGTTTGCGACGACGAGGTCGACATTAAACTCGCTAATGTGGTTTGCAGGGAACTGGGTTTCCAAAGTGGCATAACATGGGCGCACAGTGCCAAGTACGGAGAGGGAGAGGGTGAGTGAATTTCTCTATTAAAATACATGTGGGTTATGAATCTCTTTTGACTCAAAAATGAAGATTTTGTCATCATTTACTCACCCTCATTGTTGTCCAAAACCTATATGCCTTTCTTTATTTAGAAAGATGTTTAGCAGAATGTCAGTGCTGCTCTTTTCCATACAATAAAAATGAATGATGAAAGCCGCCATGGTCCAAATTTGAGTTTTTGGGTGAACTATCCCAGTATTTTAAACACTTGCTGTCTGAATAGCTGAGGTTTAAGAGTTTTAATCTCTGTTATTTTCACATGTAACTGTGGATTATGTGAAAGGCTTGAGCGCAATTGCGTATGAAGGCGCATTGCTGTTTTAAATAGCTGTTTCACACTAGTGCAAGTGCACAGAGCTACTGTTCTTTACATCGCCCAAATCGCTCCCTGTAATTTCACTTTAAGGCAGCTATAAAGACAGCCACTAACCCAAAGCATGTATAACATTTAGTTGGCAGGACAACATTGTCATTAAAACTAAAACAAACCCTTCAGACAGCTTCACCAGAGCTCTTTTGTAATGCTTTTGTTGGTGAAACTTCTCCCATAATAAAGAAGTATTGTGTAAATGAAGTCTGCAGACTTTTGCTGTATATGTACCTTTTCTTAAAAAATTTATTTTATGACAATAACTGAGCTATTGGTAGTGTCTCGCTTAAAAGTACAGTAATTCACCCAAAACTTTTCAGTATTTACTCATCCTCATGTCGTTCCAAACCTTTATGACTTTCTTTTGAACACAAAATAAGTTTTAATAGTGATTGCTTTGTTTAACGATTTGAGACTGAAGATTTAAACTAAAAAAAAATGTCAAAAGAACCATAAATTTCTCACAGAAGTGGTCGGTGCAACTTGTATGTTGTATTTCAAGTCTTCCAAGCAGATATTATGAACTTTCAAATATCAGGGTTTCCAGTGAATAACGACTTCAATTTTGATCTGTTTGTCACACAAAACGTATATGACTTCAGAATTAATATGAGTTGTATGGACTAATTTTGTCATCATTTTTTTATTTTTCAAATTCACCTTTTGTGTTGAAACGAGAGCTATTCAGGTTTGGAATGATAGAATTTTCATATTTGGGTGAACTGTTCCTTTAAAGTGCCTACCGTATATTATTCCTACTTTTGTTTCTGGGGTCCCATATTATAGGTTTACATGCATCCATATTTTTCTATTAATATACATTGCAGCATCACCTTTTGTCTCACAGTGTCTGAAATGGTTCGATCAAGAGTCGAATCTCTAAACCCCTCCTTTCCAAGAGATTACTCTGCTCTGATTGGTCAGATGGCCCAGTCTGTTGTGATTGGTCTACCACTTACAGTGCATGTTGGAAACAAAACGTTCTTTACCATATAATGATACCAGTAGTGATGCCATAGATTTTACCATATCAATTCGAGCCTGAGTCCACATATTTTGGAAGTGCATGCAAAGTTTGAAAAAAACGTTGTTTTTTTCGACTTGTTGACAACACGAACCAAACTTTTCCAGGCCTCTGCTACAACTACAGTGTTTGAGGGCAGATCAAATTAGACGTTGTTTGTGGCAGCCAATGAGGACCAACGGATGGCATTATGCAAATTTGTTACAAACGTACAGTTCGTAGGTTCAAGTAGGAAGTGAGGCCCTGCTTACACCTGATATTAAGATGCGTTTTGGTTGATCGGATCACAAATGGATGATGCTAAATACAGAGGTAAACAGGGTCTAAAACATCTTGAGCTTGTCCACTTTCAACCACTTCCAGTGGTAGTCGAAAACGCATTCGACCCCATTGCTTTCGTAGTCTAAACGCTCATGTGGTTGAATGCGTTCGAACAGCCACAAAAGACCGCCTTCTCTCCACCTTCTGACCTAATGCGTTAACATGGGAAGCGCACTAGACAGATAGGATTGAAACTTTGTTGGATGAAGACACAAGTTGAAGTTTGAAGCCGAAAAATGTACCAAGCACAATGTTCTCTCACCATTCCTGATTTCTAACACACACTCACTGTGTTCGGTGTGGGCTTGCGGCTATCAGAGCAGAAAAGTTTTTTCCGTCATCTCCAGTCACATTCATATCTAAATTGCGCAAGCTTATTTTGTCCATTGGATCGAAAGATCTGAAAAAAACACCTACATTTACCTGCCCATAGACCCTCCCCTCAAATAAATCAGGACAGAAGTGGTTGAAAGTGGAAAAAAGACAGATTAAAACAGCAGGTGTTAACGGTAATGTGTCTCTCTCATCTACTGATGATCCGATCGATCAAAACCCATCTTAATACCAGGTGTAAACGGCCTAAAATTGGAATTACTGACGACTTGTTTCAGGCAGTTCAGAAATGGTTTGGGAGACTATAACTCCATTTGTCGTGCAGTTTGATCTTTGAAACTTTGCAAGACATTTTGCATTCACAACCAGCTATATTACACACTACATGAAAGGTAATATCCAAAAAAAGCATTATAAGGGCATTTTAAGACCCATAACTGATGTTTTATTCATCTAGTGCTTTTGTAACCTGTAACATCTGCCACAGGCCCCATTTGGATGGATAATGTGAGGTGTGAAGGAACAGAGAAAACTCTGAAAGACTGCAAGTCGAACGGATGGGGTGTTCATGACTGCAAACACACTGAGGATCTCGGGGTGGTCTGTAGTCCAGAGAGAAGGCTGGACCAAGTGCATCCTGGAGTCACCAGAAGAGGGCACACCATCGCTCTCAGACCAAACGCAGTCACCTCCAACCGTTGGCAGGACATTTACTCCAGTTCAAGAACACATGCACACCTCAGGCAAGGCAATGGACACTCCCAGGATCATACCGGATGGGATCAATTCTCCAGACAGCAGCTTCATAATCCGGTAAACAGAGAATGAAGTAGATCTGAAATGCTCATGATTAACTCTGAACCGAATCCTGACCCTGACGTTTTAATCCATAAGTAATCTCATCTGCATTTTCTTTAAATTTAGATTTAGTTGAAAATTTAAACAAAGCATTTATTCATCTTCATTTTGTTCCAAACTCATCTTACTTTCCATCTTCGGTGGAACACAAAATAATACTTTTTAAAGAATATGCAACACATTCTCATCCTTTGGCGTCACATAGGTGACGCCATATGACATTTCGTCGAAATCTTACGCACATGGCATCCTTTAGCGTCAATATAACACGCACTGTTATGGGTAGGTTTAGGTCTGGGGTAGGGTACGGTTATGACGCCCTTGGGATCTGCGTCTCATATTGACACTAAACGATGCCATATGCGTCGGATTTAGACGAGCGTCACCTGTATGACGCCTTGGGTTCTGCGTCTCATATTGACGCTAAAGGATGCCATGTGCGTAAGATTTCGACGAAATGTCCAAAGCGTCACATGTATGACGCCTTAGGATGAGAACGGGCTGGAATATCCTACTTGGAATCTAGTGCACTTGTTGCAATTGACCACTTTTTCCAATACTTTTATAGTACTTTTCTGCCATTTCTATGCATGACACATGAAAGAATACAGGGTTTGGATCAATATGAGGTAAACAATGTTGGGCAAACTTGCAGGTATGCTCATGATAAAATCTTATGTTTTCAATCTTCCTCTAGTCTGCCAATAGGGTGAGGATTGAGGAAGTCCGTCTCAAGCCAGTCTTGATGGTTACAAAGAGGCGCACTCTTGTCACGGAGGGTGTGGTGGAAGTAAAGCATGCTGGGAGATGGAGACAGGTGTGTGATAAAGGCTGGAGTTTGAATAGCAGCAGAGTTGTGTGTGGGATGCTTGGCTTTCCTGACGCGGAGCAGCCCAACATGAACACCTACAAGTGAGTCTTGCACTTCTAATGAAAAATACAACATGTGCACTGGCTTTATTCTCTGAGGTTTTGGTCCTGAGATAATTAGCATTATATTAAAATCCAACATTTAGCGCTAATTCCCTGTTATTGGATGATATTAGTTTTGTGAATTTCATTTTGTTAGGGTTTCCCAGACTTTTGACTAATAACATTAAATCTAGTCCAGACTGCAGCATACTCTGTCCAAAAACTGCCCACTTGGACAGGAAAAGACTGTCTGGTTCACATGTAGCAGAACTGTATCAGGCAGCAACAGTTTTATTTTTACATGCTGTTTCAAATTAGGGTAAATACAGGTACAATTTGGTTAAATGTTGATGTTGAATTAAAAATTTTAGGGTCTGTTTTGTTTTTGAACGTTTTTGAAGTCTCACCAAGGCTGCATTTATTTAATAAAAAAATACAATAAAAATAATAATATTGTGAAATATTATTAATTATAACTACAGTAACTACATGTAACGTGTAAAAATGACTGTAAAATAAAGTGTTACCAAATATTTTATAGTATAAAAGTATATAAAAGTAATTTCTTTCATATATATATATATATTTGAGGAAAAAATGTATTCCTTAGTAATTTAAATTTCAGTATAAAAATACATAGAAAGACTGGTAGCTGTTATTCAAGGGATCCTATCTTTATTTCTTTTTTCCCCTTGTTTTGTTTGTTTTTGGATTTGCTATGTTTGTTGGACCACACAGGATGATGTGAGGATGATATTGCAAGTAGAAAAGGTTCATTTCTAAGCACAAAAAGATGTTTGTCTCTGCATGTAGTGTAAAGTGAAAGATTCACCTCCTCTGTTGGTTGGAATAGCACGTCTGTTTCCCTTATCTCTGTTCCCCAGGCACCTTTCACAAACTTGAGCACTTAAGCAATGATTAAAAGATCTTTCAAACGTACTGATGCTATCTAGACCCCAGTGCTAGTGAAATGAACGGTCTGTTCCGAACGCTTAGATTTAAGTAAGAAGTCTAATATTCCTGCTGATTGTTATTGGAAAAGGACATCAGTTTAAAGCCTATAAAGTGTCTGTTGTTGGAGAAAGAGTTTCAAGTTTGTTTAATGATTTTATTGACATTGTCACCCTTGACTTTCTCCTGCCTCCTCACAGAGTGTTTCCAACCAAGCTGTACTTTCACAGTCTTGTCTTTATTGATCAGTTATTTGTAAAGAGCAGATTACTGTTGGGAGTTTCTGGGCTATATTTCACCTTTAGCTCTTATTCTAAAAAGGCATTTATACAGGTTGTCTATCTGCATAATGAGTCTATACACATAACAATGATGGTACTGTGAATGCTTTTCTACTGGATCTTGATTCCTACAGTCAGGATACAGGATGATATATTGATATAGAGCATAAATACTGAATCAGAGATGACCAGGTCCATTACGGATCTTTTTAGAAAACATTAATTTCTTGGAGCAATTATGTGCTCATGTTTGTTGTCTTTACCTACATATCTACCCATCAACATACCTACCTTTTTACCAACATAAACTATCCATCCATCCATCCATCCATCCATCCATCCATCCATCCATCCATCCATCCATCCATCCATCCATCCATCCATCCATCCATCCATCCATCCATCCATCCATCCATCCATCCATCCATCCATCCATCCATCCATCCATCCATCCATCCATCCAAAGTTTACTCGCATTGGGTTAGACCTACCTACATAGTCACTTTCAGAGTTATGTTCAGTTTGTCTTAGTTATCATTGACTTTTAGTTTGTTTTCATTAATTCTTATGTTCCTTTGTTTGATTTTTCCGCCGCTCCTTTGTTACCATCGTCACTGTCATTATGAGTTTGTTTGGTTCAGCTGTGTTCTATTAATCATCTTGTTTGCGTCACTATATAAATTGTTCCCTCGCGTTCATTCTCTGTCTGGTCTGTCGTACGATTATGTGTGATGCCACCTTCTGTTTACCTTTTGGATATTTGTTATTAAACTCATGTTGGAACTTTATTCTTCTTATTCTTTGGGGTGCGGACTGGTGGGGTAGTGAACCCGAGGTTACCCCTTGAGTCAGTCCTAGAGCTCCTCCTGTCCGATTTTAGGGATGAATCGGGTCTATTGGAGACGTACAATAGATTTCTTAGGCACCAAAGAATACCACAGACACAGTGTGATCACCATGGGAAAATCTCAGAGTAAAACTGGGAGCTGTGAAAAATATGATACACCGGTGTTTATGCTAGATGAGAAGTCTATCTATGTATCATCTTTTTACACTTTTAATTCCTTTTATAACTGGTTTAATTTTCCTTGCTTTTCATTTTGGGATTATTTTTATTCCTTTCTGTGTAAAGCACTTTGAATTACCATAGTGTATGAAATATGCTATATAAATAAACTTGCCTTGTCTTCATCTGTCTGCCTGCAACCACTTGTGACAGTCAGCCTATCATTCACCTACTCGCCTACCTATCTTTTCACCTTCCAACCCCTATACCTACCTACTTTTTTAACCTACTTTACTTGTCCATATATCCACCGACCAACTTGCTGTACTTGCCCATCTAAAGTATCTATCTACCTTCCTATATATTTGCTTCCCCTCCTACATGCTTACTTGTATAACTACCTATCATTTACCTAATTTCCTACATATACCTATTTATTTACCTTCCTTTGTACTTACCTTCCTACCTACCTTTTTACTTGCCTTTATAAACCTATCCACATTATCCATCTGCCTGCCTACATATTTTCGTCTCCTTTTTGGATTAGTTACCCTCCTATCAATCTTTTTACCATCCTATCTACTTACTTGCCTACAGTCAACTACCTATCATTTACGTACCAACCTATCTTTTAACTATACCTACCTGCCTACTTAGTCAACTGCCTACTTACCTATCTACCTTTTTTTTACCCTCCAATGTACCTACCTTTCTACCTACCTACCTATTTTTTACACTCCTACCAAACTGCCTACCTACCTTTTTACCTACCTAAATACTTATCCTCCTATCTACCTTCCTACTTATTTTCACCCCCCTCCTGTCTACCTACCTTAACTACCTATCATTTACCTACTTTCTACATATTTACCAAACTACTTATCCACCTATCCACCAAATCTACAGTATTTGCCTAGCTCCCTTTTTATTTTCTTCCCCTCCTTCCTACCTACAGTACCAACCAACCTTCTTATTTGTCTGTTGCACAAGCACATTTTTATTTCATGACCATGCTGAAAGAATGGTTTGATAATGAATAATTTGGTTTGAAATAGGTTTCCTAACAGTTACCACTTTTTGTTCTTATTTGTGTCCTCACTTCATTTTTTTCATTGTTGCCTTATTTTGCTCCTCTTATAGGATGCTGTGGTGGTTCAGAGGCATTTTTTTTTGAGTTACCACACTTGCAGCACAACTATTTTATTCCCATCGTGTGAATGGACTTTGGCCGTGCTGGCATTCCATCCCATGTGCTCATTATAAAAAGCAGCACCTTAATCTTATGTGTCTGCGGCCTCCAAGCTTTTTTAGGTTTGTGCTGGGGCGTTATAAGTGTTGTACGTGCTCTCTGCTGAGGATTCTTCTAAGGTCTGTCTGCTGCTGCATTACAAAATGCCCCGATAAATGTCCTTGAGCGTTGAGCAATTTTAAACTTTTTATGCTCTAAAAAAAAAAAAAATCTTACCCAGTCGATAAGTTCATTGACAGGTTTTTGTTATCTTGTTTTTTAGGCTTTGTACCCTTTTTCCTGAGAATCCTAATCTTGAGGTCACAGGAACACCTAAGCAAGCTTTTGTTTATGCATGACTCAAAGACATGCCACAAACAGCAACTTGAAGATGCTGTTTGAACTTAAATTAGAGCTTATAGAGCTAGCTGTGGCTTTCGTGGCTTAAGTCCTAGAGAATCTCCATTTGGCTCTTCCTCGTCTGTGAGTGTGCCCATACCTGACCTCACCATGTATTACGTGCATTTTGTTAAGTCTCCAAAGAGCACCAGACTTGGCAGATGTACTGAAGAGCGCTCCCTCACGCTCCCACTCAGCGTCTCAGAGATCGCGAGCCACCCCGCCCTGACACTGCTTCTTCTGGATCCTCAGCTAAAGATGCTGTAATTAAATGTTGGGTCCCTCAGAAGATTTCCACGTTTTTGGCGAGTAAGGGAAAGGCAGATTACAATTATAGCTGCGCCCCATAGGCTGCTGTGTCAGCAGGACACACTCTGTCACCGAGGAAACTGCAAGACTTAAACCACAATAAGGATCAAATATCCTTAGACGAGCATCTCAAGAAATGAAATACAATATTTTAATGGTTCGAATTCTGTTCCTTTGAGTCTAAAGCAGTGCCCCAGTCAGACTGTGTTCAGAAAGAAAAATCACCTTCTATATTTATGGAGTTTTTACTGTAATATTTGTCTCGGTGTCATTTAATTGCAGGATTCTCAGTCCATTGAGAATCACCTTTGAGGGTCAAGCACAATAATCAGTTTAGGCATTCAACATTCGGTGTTGTGGTGTGAGAGATTTCAACGCTATCTCACGACCAATTCGTACGAATTCGTACGAGTGATTAAAAGGTGGCTAATTCGTACTAATTCATACGACCTCACTCGTACGAATTTGTACGATTTGTCTAAACCTACGTGATGGGTAGGTTTAGGGGCGGGGCCAGGGGTAGGTCATTCGTACGAATTCATACGAATTTGGTAACTCGTAAAATATGTACGAATTAGCAAAAATCGTACGAATTTGTACGAGTGAGGTTGTATGAATTAGTACGAATTAGCCACCTCGTAAAATTCATACGAATTGCCGTGAGATCGGGCTGGAGATTTTTCATTATTTTCATTATTTATATGTTGTATTATATCACATACATTGTACAGGATGAGGCACAATTATTTTTCTTTAATCAAATGCGATGGCCAAATGTATGACCTGCACTTAGGAAATAATTGCTAAGGCAATTTAGTTTTCATGTTTAGTTTCAAGTAGGCAAGTTTCACACTTTTTATATATATAAAAGTGGATTTTTAATAACAATCAACCCTGGAGATATAAAAGTGGCTGGTGTTAAAGAAACCTTTTCATGAAAACGTCCGTCCTTGTATTGATTTATATCATGACTGTAGAGATTGGTCCTTAAGATGTACTCAATATATCAGCGATTTGAGTGCCCTCTTGCTTAAATAAATGCTTAAACAGCATTTCTAATATGTAGAGAGAGAGAGAAAGAGACAGAGAGAGTTTTGTGTGTATGTGTATAGACTAATGCTTAAAACAGTGGCATGATTGTTGTCTCCAAACAGACCAGCTCTCTCTATCATTAAGTTTTCTTGGTTCAGCAGTAAACCAAGGGTGGAACTCTTGGGCTAATTACATGAGCAGGTGGGTATTTCAGTGCCAGCCACTGTAAGACTGTATATGTATATTAGTTATTGTAAAGTATCTTTTCATGTTCAGAGAACTACATCTGATAGCCTATATAAAAGGACAACTTATATCAATTATATGAAATTGTTTATTTGAATTCCAGCTGCAAATGATCATTTTTAAGATTTGCAAGTTACTAGAATGTTACTCTGCTACAGAATGTCATATTCAGAAACATCCAGAATATTGTATGAGGTCATTAAACTGGAGATTCCACACAGCAGTTGACTTGTTTCTTTTCTGTTGACTGATATTATCTCAAATTTTATTCGTTAAGACGCTTCCATCAGGAAAATGAGTTTATTAATTCTGTATTGAATTTATATATTTTGAAAGTCCTTATTAAAGTAGTTAAAGTTTGATAAACTATTTTGTGTGTGTAGTCAGAAAAAAACAGATTCAGCTAAATCAGAGTAAAATCCTTTGGGTTATACCAGCACGAATCTTTAAAAGCTACCACATTTAGTTGGACAGACGGTGGATGATGACAGTGATTATATAATGTGTCACTGTGATGACAGGTGCATTAGAGGGCAGGTGTTCATGGGTGGATCTCTCTCTCTCTCTCTCTCTCTTGGTCTCCCGCTCTCTCTCGTTTGTCTCAGTTTGTTTTTTGGGAAGTCTTACTGTGCCCATTCCGGGATACCAACACGCCAGTGGAAATATCTGTTTATAGAATGTACATATTTGAAAGCCAGTTTAGTGGTAGATTAAGTTAAAACATATGTTCTTTGATGTCTGTGTCTGTGGGCCATACATTTTATTATTATAACAGCAATGTTAACAGATGAATCTTTAGTTGAAAGTGTTTTGAATAAAGACACATTGGTAATGAACCGGTCAAGACCTGGAATAATGAGTTTTTACTCACTATAACTGTCTCCTAACGACAAAATCTCATGTGGTTTATTTTGCCTTATTTCCAGTGTAATATGTTTTATATTATTAATAATATTTTCATATTATTAACAGCATCATGAATTGCATCACTTGTCAGATTTTTTCCAACATGTTTTTTTCCATTTACAGAAAAATATGGGATACAAAGGTCAAGGATTCAACAACGAGGTGAATTCATTTTACTCTTCTTTGCCGAATATCTACATGCACACTAAAGCGTATTTCTTTACATCAGAACATCTTATTACTCTTAATTTAACTTAATGTACTAATGCTCTTGTGAACTATGATGTCTCCTAGATTAAGTCAGATGACCAAGAAGAAGGGATTCTGGGTTGAGAAAGTACATTGTCTGGGTACAGAGCCCAGCCTAGCGGACTGTCACACCCAGCTGTCAATCCCGCGAAGCCCCGCCCCCTGTAAGAACGGTCGCCATGCTGTGGCCCGCTGTGTCCCAGGACCGCAATTTGCTCGTATGTCCTCTGGCAGACCCCAGGCACCTCACCCTGTGCAGGTAATCCTTGAAACATTTAGACTGTTCAGACTGCCAGCAAAAATCAGATTTTTTGCATATCCAGATTTTATCCAGATGGGTTTTTGAAAGTCTGGACAGGAAAAAAAAACACATGAAATCTGAATTTTTCAAACCTTATTCAAACCCTATTTGGAGGTGGTTGGAAATGCGATTTCAATCAGAGTTTTACAGATTGCGTCTCAGTCTGGACACTCTGTCAGCTCAAATCGGATTTCAAATTGTCTTTTGCATTACTCTTTATGTGACACACAACGATAACCTCAAAGTCGGTGACGGAAATGACGAAAGTATTAATATGGTATTCAAACGGTATTCAAAATTTCAACCTTGACAACAGCACGGGACATCACAATATATAATAACAGTCTCCTTTGTCGCACAAGAAAACTCAGCAACGGTGGAGACTGGTATTCCTCACTTTCTTCTTGCTTTGGTATCCAAAAGAACAACAAAGGGAGGCAGGAATCCTCAGAAGGATCTGGGGTTTCCCTCTCTCATTCTCAGTGATTCCATTCTGCACCACAACTCGACAGGGCACTTATTTGAAGAGCGAGATGATGCACCTCCATTTTTTGAAAGCTGTCGTTACCAAAGCAACCTATGCAGATAGGTTGTCTGGACACACACATCTTATTTGATCACTTAAAATTAATAGTGCGGACAGTCTGCCTTAAAATATCTGATTTGAGAAAAAATCTGATTTGCATGCAGTCTGAACATACCCTTTGTTATTTTAGATTAATTGACTGGCTGTTATTGACCAGCTATTATTGGATGTTTAGTGTATAATGTTAAATAGTTTTAAAAATGAAAAATATGTTTGTATAATATATAAAAAATATGTTTTTAATGTTTGCATCAGAATAACCAATTTGTCCCCACTCATCATCATTACATTTGAATGGTTATACTGAATACATAACTCAAAAATCACAAAAAATGAATCACTCAAAAATCACAAAAAATAAATCACTTAATAACACTATTAATTACTAAAATCTAATTCGACCCTCATTATGCCATTATTGAAATAAACGTTCTATTCATCAAATAGTCCTTAACAAGATTTATTAAGGTTTCCACTAAAATATTAAGCAGCACAACCGTTTTCAATGTTGATAATAAGAAATTGTACTGAAGGATCATGTGACACTGAAGACTGGAGTAATGATGCTGAAAATTCAGCTTTGCCATCACAAGAATGAATTACATTTTAAAATATATTAGAATAGCAGTGAATTATAATAACATTTCATAATATTACAGTATTATTTTACTGTATTTTTGATCAAATAAATGCAACCTTGGTGAGGGTAAAAAACTTTTAAAAACGTCATCATTGGTTATAAACAGATGTTTAGGGTTGGGGCTATTAGAATTAACCATTGAAAAAAAAAATTAAAACATATTTGTTGACCACTAATCTGAAGCTTTGGGAAGGCAGTCCCACTGGTGGTCCTCAAACATCAATTGTGGTTATAATAACCCTGGTACTTCGGGACTGAGGTGGAAAAATATGATTTCCTGAAAGTAACCTTGTCAAACTCTTTTCTCCTCTCATAGCTGTCAGTGCGCCTGAAGTCAGGGCCACGTCTGGGAGAAGGCAGAGTGGAGGTTCTGCGCGAGGGGAAGTGGGGAACTGTGGTTGACCACCTGTGGGACCGTATCTCAGCCAGCGTGGTGTGCAGAGAGCTGGGCTTCGGCTCTGCCAAAGAGGCTCTTTCCGGAGCATACATGGGTCAAGGTGAGAATCACAGTAGTTTAAGCTTAAAGAAATAGTTGACCCCAAAAAAAGATTTGTTATTCTTTACTTACCCTCATTCTGATCCCAGTTGGAACTACTCCAGGGTAAGTAAATGACAGATTTTTCATTTTTGGATGAACTATTCCTTTAATCTGTTTTGGGGAAGAAGGTGATTCATAACTACAAACATGGTTATTATACTGAGTGTGGCACATGATTCCAACGAAGTCTGAGTCTGAGATTAATTGGAAAGCTCTGCTTATCTGTGGGATACGCCTGTCTGCATCTGAATATGAAAGCAGTCTATGATGTGACATGAGGATGTCTGACATTATGCAAAATCACACTCTCCAGGCGCAAAGCATGAATGTACCGTATTCTTTAAGCCAAGGAACTTTCCCTGAACTTTCTCTGCCTCAGATCCACACTGCATGTGAGTTTATTTAAGCTGACTGAGACTCAACGCTGATCTGTATTCCGAGCGGCATCTTTTCTCTTTGGCAGAGCAATTATCTCATCCGGTCAGAGTGAAGCGATGACAGTAGCAATTTGTTGAAGACTTCCAGATATCGCACTGATGAAAAACACAGCCACTAATGTCGTGCAGATTTGTTTTTGTTTGTTTTTTTAAAGGAAGGAAGTGAAATGACGTTTGACTCATAATGATGTTAAATCAGGTGCTACCATTCAAAGAACTGAAATGACGAAATGTTGATTTATGGATTATGATAATTTTAGGGGGTCTGTTACTTTAAAATATAAGCTGTAATGCACCAGTATTGACTCATATGAAAGTACAGACTTGAAATGAACCTGGCTAAGGTTGACTACTTACATCTAATGAAAATAATCCAATCAAGGTTTTAATTTAAAGGGTTAGTTCACGCAAAAATGAAAATTATGTAATTAATGACTCACCCCCATGTCGTTCCAAGCCCGTAAGACCTCCGTTCATCTTCGGAACACAGTTTAAGATATTTTAGATTTAGTCCGAGAGCTTTCTGTCCCTCCATTGAAAATGTATGTACGGTATACTGTCCTTGACCAGAAAGGAAATAAAGACATCATCAAAGTAGTCCATGTGACATCAGTGGGTTAGTTAGATTGTTTTGAAGCATCGAAAATACATTTTGGTCCAAAAATAACAAAAACTACGACTTTATTCAGCATTGTATTCTCTTCTGTTTCTGTTGTCAATCCGCGTTCAGTGACGCTGATGACGTAAGACGCTGCTGACGTGTATCTGGTGCGCCCGAGCTTCGTATACAGTCTGAGGGAGACGCACGCTGTAAACAAAACAGTCTTCGCAAACATGTCTAAGAATTTCGACACAGAGGAAGACTTGCATTTTTTTTGCCCAGCCATATTTATTTGAACCTGAATACACTGACACACCAGATAACACGTCAGCAGCGTCTTACGTCATCAGCGTCACTGAACGCGGATTGACAACAGAACCTTTTTCTGATAAATACATAATGTTATTTTTAGTTTAAAGAAGTAATAACACAATTAATAAACATCTTTTTTGTAAGAGTAAGTAAGCTAATATACACTCCTGTTAAAGTAGAAAACAGTTATTTTAAATTGTAATACTGTATTACTGTTTTACTGTATTTTTGATTAAATAAATGCAGCCCTTGTGAGCATAAGTGACTTTAATATATGAAATTCTATGATTGCTATAACGCACAAAGAAAAACAGCTAAATCTCATTGTCATTGAGACAAAAATACAAAAAAAATAATGTCAATTATAGTTTAATGTCGGTTAATACATATTTTTGGTTGGTAAATTTTCTTAATCACCCTTCATCGGCAGGTGTGGCAAACAAAAAGAAGCTATATTAGAAAGTGACTACACTTGCTGGTTTTTGAATTCATCCATTTGGATGTAAGACTACTTTGGATCAAAGCTTATGATTTCTGTCCATCTATAGCATCGAGGTCTTTAGGTATTTAGATGTCATGTATAATTTACCAAGTGCAGCCGAGGCCACAAAAACATATAGTGAGTGAAACGAGACACAAATTAGTGTTTCAATGACAGAACAGAGCTGGACTGTTTGGGACAGGCAGTAAAAATAGGAAATCTGTTGAGATGGGCTACATGTACCAGACTGTGGTCACCACATTTAGAAATGATCCTGAATAATGGTGTTGGTACAGTGCTTATTGCACTGCCAGATTTTCCAGACATTTAATATAACATAAAGGGATAGTTCACCCCAAAATGAAAATTCTGTCATCATTTACATCATTTTGGGGTGAACTATCCCTTTAATGTGCTTAGTGGTGGAAACAAGTTTGAAAATTGGATGTCATTGTGGCTGCATTGTGGAAGCACATTCTTTCTGTGGATTTTTTTTGTTTGTTCAAAAATAGTTTTATGGTGGAGTTAGCATGAACATGTATGACAATGTAGATCTTTTAAGGCCAATGCGGCGTGAAGCAACAAATTCTGTTGAGGCGTTCTCTAAGTCTGACCTCCCAGTAAGAAGTAAGTAAGCGTTTCTGAAGTCCCTCGATGACTTCATGTTTTGAGATTTGTTTGAATGCAGTATCAGCTGGTTTTACTTCAGTCAGACACTATAGACAAGGGATTTAAAGTCACGTTCACCGGTTCACCTCTTGCTTTACTGGCAAAACGTATAAGATGAGAATATATTTTGGGATGCAGTACACACTGAGTTTTTCCTCTGGCTTTGAAGAGAAATATTTCTTATATAGCAATTTAATCTGCTCTTAAAATAGGGATTATAGTCATTCCATGAAAGGAAAACACCATTAATGCGGAATATATATATGTTGTTTTATTTTAGGGAGAAGAAAATGTCCATTTTCCGTAAACCACACTCTAGTGAAACTATTCACAGAACCACTCCCTTTCCTTCAGCCACTTCTGCAATACTTACTTATTTACTTGCCTTTTTGTGCATACACGGTTTTATATTTATGCTAAGATTTATATTTAAGTTAAATTAGTCATTTTTTTATTTAAGCAAGGAAGCATTCAATTGATTAAAAGTAACCAAACCCAATCACAGTTAGTAGGCCTATAATGTTCATAAATGTCCACAAAAATATTTTGTTTTCAGCACTGATAATAATGTATTTTGAGCACCAAATCAGATTATTAGAATGATTTCTGAAAGATCATGCGACACTGAAGACTGGAGTAATGATGCTGAAAATTAATCTTTGCATCAGATGAATAAATAAAAATATAGTGAACCTATGGTAACACTTTACTTGAAGGGGTGTGCATAAGACTAACATGACACCTTCATAATCATGACATGACACATGTTATGAATATGAAGGAAGTTGTATGCATGTTTATGACAACTGTCATTAAGTGTCATTCGCTCAGTTATGACATTTTTAATGCAAATATGACATTGTTTGAAATGTCTTTGTTATGACACCTTGACATAAACAAATACATCATAACCTGTCAGTGTCTTTGTCATGACAACTTGACATTACTAAGACAACACAACCTGTCATAAACATGACCTAGCAGATTAATTATCAAACTTAAGAAACCACTTAGCTTGGTTAACATTACATTAAACTGTCAGGTGGCTGGTTTTGACATTGGCTGTCATGAAGCCATTATAACTTTTTAATGACAAATTCAATTTGTACCACTGTAGTTGAGGTCACGGAAAATATTCATGCCACAGTTATAATGGACTGATGACAGCCAGTGTCAAAACCAACCACATGACAGTTTAACTTAATTTAATGTCAAGTTGTCATGACAAAGACACTGACAGGTTATGATGTTATGGTTTATGTCAAGATGTCATAACAAAGACATCTTAAACAATGTCATATTTGCATTCAAAATGTCATTATTGAGCGAAAGACACTTAATGACAGTTGTCATAAACATGCATAAACCCTACTTCGTATTCATGACATATGTCATGTCATGGTTATGAAGGTGTCATGTCAGTCTTATGCACACCCCTTCAAGTAAAGTGTTACCGAACCTATTTTAGGTTGTAATAATATTCAAATATAAGCTGTATTACAGTAATATAATACAGTATTACTGTTTTTTTCTTTTTTTTATTATTAAATAAATGCGGCCTTGGTGAGCATTAGAGGCTTACTTTAAAAACATTAACAATCTTAGTAACCCCAAACTTTTATGGTAGTGTATATTTATTTTGTAAAAATATACTATCCTTTATTTATATGTATATCTATATTTATATAGTAGCACATGACACAAAGAGAAAGTTTTGATTGAGCCATTTGAGTCCAAATTATGATGTCATCATACTGTCTACTGGAGAAATTGAACAATAATTAGACATCTCTTGCATTTCTTCTTTTTTTTCCCTGTAGTCGATCAATGGGTTTTTCAATGACTCTTAACTTTTACTTTTGGTCTCCACTCTTTGCTTAAATACATGATTATATATTCTCTGTGAGGGAACATTTCCATATTAATCCTCATGGTTTTAGCCAATCTCTAGCAATCTGCTTCAGAAGCGAGGCCAAATCGGGTGCTGTGTTTGCTTTTGTGCTCTATCATTTTTGCTTCGAAACTAAACAGCTGGTCATTATTTCATTGCTCTGTTAAAAATCTTTTTTTTTTTTTTATCAGTGCGATCACCAAACTTAGCCGGGAGCAGCGCAATAGCACATAATCACTGTTTTTCCACAGCAGTTTATACAGCTCTCTGCTTCATTTACCCTGAATTTCCCCAGCATGTATTTCTGAGATGGGGGAAAAAACGATATAATTACTCTTACACTAATGTTGCTCTGGTTTATTTATGCTGCAGATTTCACATCCTTGTGAGATTCATGGAGTTTTAGCACACTGCTCACGTTGAACTATGATTTCGACCAATGTTTTGACATCACAGTAAACAAAGAGGGAAATGAACTGTGACATCTGATACTTTTTATCAAGCTTTTTATCTCCATAGAACCTCAAGAATGTGATGATAATGATTTCACACGAACAAATCCACTCCTCTGTATCTGATCAGACTCATGTGTGGCCCTCTGGTGTGTGAGGAATTTTAGTGCTTTAACACTACACATCTTTTAGAACGTCCCCGTTTTGGGGAAAGTTACTCCCTAAAAAGTATCCAATTGCGTTACTTAGTTACTTTTGCGTCACCTTTTCTCATCTTTCTCATTTCAAAAGTGAAATGAATAAGCCTTAGGTTGAAGGAAATGTAATTTCACGTCTGTACAGGCTCGGCTCAAACAAACCGTTCAGCTGTGCTGTCATTCTGGATTGCAGAAGAATAGGACGCAGGAGAAAGTTCGACACTTACCTCAGCAATAAAAACAAAAAAATAAAACACAAATGTGATGTTTATCTAAAATAGTTTTTGCTTATTAGTATTAGTATTGAATCATCGAAGGTCAGCAGCAGAGACATTGGTTAATAAATTGAGATTAAATACATAAAGTAGCCTATATTTGTGTTATTTAACATTTCATTATTGCAGGTTTGCAGAGTTTCTCTCAACATGGGGACAGGAGAGGTGTCCGTTTATAAATGGGAAAACAAAGTAACGTGGGTTACTTGTTTGAATAAGTAACTCAGATATTTTGTTGTAAATTTAAAAGTAATGTGTTACTTTACTAGTTACTTGAAAGTAATCTGATTACATAATCAGATTACTCACATTACCCCCAACACTGCCCATAAGAAGGAATCCATTTACAACGTGGTTTTCGGTAATCATTAATTGATATTATTCTTACATGGGCTGGATGAATTGTGACGATGCAAAGCTTATTTATCTGCCATTTTTATAACAATGAATTGTTCAGTTGCTCAGTAATGATCCTCAATAGATTTACATCAGTAAAGATCAAATATTAGTTTGAGAAAGTGACAAATGGCAGCAGTTGGTCAGTCATTTTTTTTTTAAAGGTAATTTCTGGAAAGGGCCGGTTAGAAAGTGTATAGTGTTCTCTGTGGCAGAAAGAACTCAAACAGGCCTGGTGTTTGTTATTTTGTTTTATATTTGAGATTTTTAACTTGTGATTCCCCAGTGACATTTACTGTTTGTTTGTTCTACAGGGACGGGGCCAATCCACATTAACTCTGTGCAGTGCACTGGCACAGAGCGCTCCATTTTGGATTGTTTCTTCCAGGAAGTCCCTCCCTGGACATTCAAACACAGCCAGGATGCTTCTGTCAAGTGCTATGTTCCTAAGACAGGCGTGGACACCACGGTGAGCAAAACGATCACAGGTTACTCTGATATATTTCAGATAGCTCCTATCAGTCATGTTATCTGCACAGTTAGTCCCCCGAAATATTTGGACACTTAAAGTGTAGCTTTGTAGATTTTCAACCCGCTTTGTATTGTTACAATGTCGGTTGGTAGTATGCAGTATGTAAATTAATAATGTTGACTTGTTCTCCATGTTACCTGGAGAGAGAAATTCATGTTTATTTGTCAGCAAAAGGACTTTTTTACAGATCCAGAGCTTTTGTGAAACTACAGATTATTCTTCTGAATTATTTGCACACCTGGCCATGACAGTCGGATCAACAGATGGTTATTAACAAAACCTACTCTTTATTGTATTGTCTTACATTACGTTGCATTACGGTAAAAAATGAACACTGACAACAGCTTTATTACCTGTACGCGACAGCGTTTTGCCTTGACGGGTTGGGCGTTCTTTCAGTTTTTCCCCTCCTTTTCGTGCTCATCAAGTTTGAAATGTTGACTACAAACATTGAGGTTTTACAAATTTTCCGCTGCGCCGTTCTCTCCGTATTTACGATTCTTTGCAGCCTTAAATTATCCACGGTCTACAACACGCTGGATCTTTCACTGGAAACTGAAAATAACTCACTCCTACTAAATGTTTACTCTTTGAATTCTTGCATCCGGGAGCAATACAAGTCAAGTGACTAAAGGTTTGCTAAAATGTATTTCCTACTAGAGCAAAGCGGTATTTGACTCTCGTAAGCAAATTCATAGCAGACTGGTGGGAGTGGCCTTGGTCGCCAACATGCCCAGTGCATTATGGGTGTTAAAAGTTTCCTTTGCTATTTGGCAAAAGTGAAGACAACAGCATTTTTTTCTCTGTTTTCTATAGTCAGTAAGAACCAATAATAATAATAATATAAAAATCACCTTTCTGCTGCATAGGCAGCACATTTTTATTGAAAGCCCATTTTGCCAGCAGTGAAGTACCCCTTTTGGCCACAGTTAAAATGTCTTTGCGTTATATAATGGACAAATATTCGTAATTTAAAATGTCTTTGCATTTAGTGCATTAAAAGACATTTATTTTAAATAGGCTAAATATACAGATTTTGCTATTTTATATAATGTATTATATGCTAGTTATTCATTCCTGTATCTCACACAGTGGCGCTGGCAACACCAAGGTCAAGGGTTTGTCTCCCAGGGAATACACAAACTGATAAATAGATGCCAAATGCTACATGTAGATATGTACATTTAAATGCATTATGGCATTTATTTTAAATATAGCCTACACACTCAATCCACTAAACATCACCTAGGAAAGTGAAGTTAGTTCTGAGAAAAGTTCTAGCATAATTTGTTTGCAAAAGTGTTTGTATATTCTTTGAGGCCACTGTATGTGTAGGTTTCACTCCTGTGAGCATGTTTGTGTTTCAGGTGCGGTTGGCAGGCGGCAGGGATTCGGCTGAGGGTCGTGTGGAGGTGCTCATGGAGGTGGGGGGCAGAAAGCGTTGGGGGACGATTTGCAGTGAAAACTGGGGAATAAATGAAGCTATGGTGGTGTGCAGGCAACTGGGCTTTGGTTTCGCCTCGCGTGCCCATCAGGTGAGACTGCTGAAGAATGTTGTGTTTTCCAGTAATCGCTCTGAATATGTTGCTTTGGTTGCGTCAGTCTGTGTGCATTTGAGATATTCCTGTGCATGTTTAGGGGTTAGGATACTTCTGGGAAACATAAGTGTTATACAGTTGTTGTTTTGTGAAGATGAAGAGGTGGGACAGGTTGTTTAGAAATAGTTGAGAACAGGAATCAAGGCAGTTATACTTTCATTTCACACTGTTTACCTTAATTCTATCTCTGTACTACATGTGCTGAACTAAACTGTTTTGCGAAATCTCATAAAGAAATGTCCAGGTCATATCGCAACCCCAAATTACGCCAAATAAATAAACAAATGAATGAAGTTAGGGTTATTTATACTCATTTTTCAGCATTCACTTCATTAAAAATGAATTGTTTTAAAACTGTAATGGAAATCATCTAATCTTTCTTCCCCCAAAGAATCTGCATTAAATAAATTCAGGATTAGTGTGTGTTTTCAGCATAATTTATACTATATTTTGGTGGAGAATTGGACAAGTAATGCGCTTTTTGTTCTTGCAAAAAATTGAAGAAGGGTAAAATTGCATTATTTCTGGTAATAAGGAATAATGACTAAGTTCTGGACCCATAAATAAGTAGCTTAACATCATCATGTAGATTTTAAGTTCAAATGAATGGGAATTAATATAGGTGTGTGTGTGTATCCTAAGTCTTAGCTGTTCATTCTTTCATTTTCTTTTGGTTAACTTGTTGGCTTCACCTTGTTTCTTCACTTAACTAGTAAATGCTGCATACATACAGTATAATCATATTAATTAAGTACAAATCATAATTAGGTATACATAAGTACTGTAGGAAGTGCTGAATTAAAATAGTTAAGATTATTCGTAACTTGTGAAACTAGAGGGCATATCATCTTCCCAAAAGTATTTCATGTCAACTACCTACCTATACTTAATGTCTTGCATTTTAAGCATAGCATTCCATATGCAGACAAATAAGATTAGGCCTTTCTGTGTATAGGACACATATTATTGGCAAGGAGACCCTTCGGCAGAAGTAGTGACATTGAGTGGGACTCACTGTGTGGGAACAGAAATGTCCATCCAGCAGTGCCGTCGGAATAATCACGTCCACTGCCCTCGAGGAGGCGGGGCTAAAGCAGCCGGTGTCAGCTGTTCTGAAAGTAAGTGATTGGAATGACAGAATCTGATGCATATTATAATTGTATCTGCACTGAATGATCCCAATGAATGAATCTTGTTTTAGCGGCACCTGACCTGGTTTTGGATGCACAGCTCGTGCAGGAGAGCGCTTACCTGGAAGACAGGCCTCTGCACCTGCTCACCTGTGCTCATGAGGAGAACTGTCTGTCCTCCTCTGCCAACCGTATGCAGTGGCCCTACGGACACCGCCGGCTTCTGCGTTTCTCCTCTCGTATCATGAACTTGGGCAGAGCCGACTTCCGTCCACGCTCCTCAAGAGAGTCCTGGACCTGGCACCAGTGCCACAGGTGAGGGTTTCTTTCTTTCTTCTGTTTTAATGTCTACACAGAATGAAACAGAAGCCTGAGAGCTTCTGGGAAAACATAGTTTGGTCATCTTGTTTTATAAAAAGCTCCCCTGAGAATACAGTGTGATGCATAAAGGAAACTGGACCCCAAGACCACGAAACATTTGCACAGATGCTTCAGTGACAAACACTGAATCTTATTTGCTACCTGCAATCCAGTTTGCAATGAGTACTTACATTTTTATTTGTATTTTCTTATTAAAGTTATTTTATTCTATTCAGATTACTATTATTATTAATAATTTTATATTACAATTTTTACTTTTTCTTTTCCTGTCTATCTATAACTGTTATTTATTTTTATATTGTATTTGTTGCATATTCTTTTAAACAGTTAAATTGATTTTTATATGCATTTTATATTCCATCCTTATCATGACGCAATCATTTCAACAGCGGCGTGTAACGCAGTCACTTCCACTAGCCACTTTGGCGGGTTGAATTTTATATATAATATACATTTTTAAATTGTAGTCTTTTAAAAAGGTATCTGAAATAACAAACCAAGTACAATGTAGTGTTGACAAAAATATAGATTTTTCAATACATATCGATACGGAAATATCTGAAACGCTTCCAATTGTCATTTTCCACATAAAAGATACATAATACCAGCTGCGTTAGGTAAATTCAATTTTATATTAAATTTATTTTCCTTACTCTTTTTCATGGCAATGTAAAGTCTTATAAGTGCAGCATATATCCATCCAGACATGTGGTGTAGTCAAACACAGTTTTCGGTGTACAGTCCCAGTAAAGTACATTGATTACATATTCTTCTGCATCCACAACTGGAACACTCAGAACCAGCTTTTGCATATTCTTTTAATAACTCGGGTACTAAAATAATGCAGACAGCACATGAAACTAAATAATGTAGGAATAACCCTGACGTATGACGATCTTTTATTCTAGAAGAGTATTTGTGGGTACATTTCCTTTCAGTTGAGTTCACTCAGTCATTTCAATGTGCAATGAAAGGAACGTACACTCCTGTTTATAAAACCGGTCATGGGTGGTCAGAAAGCTTGCCATCATCTTTCAGATTAATTAGTTGCTTTGAGCACCTCCACTCCCTTTACATGTGTTCTGAAAATAATTGCAAACCCATTCTGTGGGAACAAGGCACTCTGTTGTGGAGGAGTTGTGGGCTTTGCGTGTTCTCAGGCCAAACCTGTTTTATTAATCTTTTAAAAACACCAGAGAAGTTGGCATTTGAAAGAAGTCTATTCAGACGAGCTGAATAAACAACTCTGCAACCGTAACTCTGTCAGCATAACAACAACTTCCTGTAAAGGGTGTTACCGTAGCAGCCAACACCTTCATGTAGGAGCAGTGAGGTCATTAGACAGTGGTCCATAGTGAACCTTTGTTCTGCCCATGTTCACAAGCCAGCATGAAATATAAGTCAACTGCACTTTTACATATTCTGGAATAGAGTCAGGGAAAATTCCCGCCATTTTTCTAGGGTGTTGTGGGTGAGTGGTATCAAAGTCTCTTTCAAGGAAAGTCTGTTCACTCTGCGCCAATATTTGCAACGCCTCCATGGCAGCTACTGTATTTCGGGCATCCAAGAGCAAGTCCTATCTACTTGAATGGGGGAATCCTGAAATCTCAAAAACTGTTTGCTGAACTCCCAATTAAATGACATTTAAAATCAGCAACAAAATCTGACATGAACTGTCCCATAAATGTTGTTTCTTATGCTTAAATGGCGTTAAAAAATCTTATTTTCCAGGCTTGACCAGCCAATGCACGTGCAGTTCTAAGCGCGCAATGAATTTACCAATTAGCTTTTGGCTGTTTTATTTAAAAGGTAGAGGACTTCCGTCATATTGTGCTTTGCACTTTCTTCAAGTAATATGAGTGCACTGTCTTTGTATATCTAAAGTCTTTGGTGTATAATCATATTTAACATGATTATACGGTGTTGCTAGAACATTACTATGCAGTTGCTAAGGAATTCTGAGTGGTATTTAACACATTTAATACTAGGCTGTTTATTAATTCCAAGAACGCAAAGAACGGACTTGCGTTCTCGTGGAGACCAGTTTTGCCAGGTTGCCTTGAAAGAATGATCTCGGAAGGGCACAGAACGCATCCTTGTGAGAATTGACATGTGCTGCGATCTTGTTGCTCAACTGACCGTCTATATAAGTAGCGTGCAATACACAATAAATACAACATACACATCACAAACAAATTTAATAACCTATTGAAACATTTCTTTCATATTATTATAGATCGTTTTATTTTAACGACGTATACACTCACGTAAAGGATTATTACGAACACCTGTTCAATTTCTCATTAATGCAATTATCTAATCAACCAATCACATGGCATTTGCTTCAATGCATTTAGGGGTGTGGTCCTGGTCAAGACAATCTCCTGAACTCCAAACTGAATGTCAGAATGGGAAAGAAAGGTGATTTATGCAATTTTGAGCGTGGCATGGTTGTTGGTGCCAGACGGGCCGGTCTGAGTATTTCACAATCTGCTCAGTTACTGGGATTTTCACGCACAACCATTTCTAGGGTTTACAAAGAATGGTGTGAAAAGGGAAAAACATCCAGTATGCGGCAGTCCTGTGGGCGAAAATGCCTTGTTGATGCTAGAGGTCAGAGGAGAATGGGCCGACTGATTCAAGCTGATAGAAGAGCAACTTTGACTGAAATAACCACTCGTTACAACCGAGGTATGCAGCAAAGCATTTGTGAAGCCACAACACGCACAACCTTGAGGCGGATGGGCTACAACAGCAGAAGACCCCACCGGGTACCACTTATCTCTACTACAAATAGGAAAAAGAGGCTACAATTTGCAAGAGCTCACCAAAATTGGACAGTTGAAGACTGGAAAAATGTTGCCTGGTCTGATGAGTCTCGATTTTTGTTGAGACATTCAGATGGTAGAGTCAGAATTTGGCGTAAACAGAATGAGAACATGGATCCATCATGCCTCGTTACCACTGTGCAGGCTGCTGGTGGTGGTGTAATGGTGTGGGGGATGTTTTCTTGGCACACTTTAGGCCCCTTAGTGCCAATTTGGCATTGTTTAAATGCCACGGCCTACTTGAGCATTGTTTCTGACCATGTCCATCCCTTTATGGCCACCATGTACCCATCCTCTGATGGCTACTTCCAGCAAGATAATGCACCATGTCACAAAGCTCGAATCATTTCAAATTGGTTTCTTGAACATGACAATGAGTTCACTGTACTAAAATGGCCCCCACAGTCACCAGATCTCAACCCAATAGAGCATCTTTGGGATGTGGTGGAACGGGAGCTTCGTGCCCTGGATGTGCATCCCACAAATCTCCATCAACTGCAAGATGCTATCCTATCAATATGGGCCAACATTTCTAAAGAATGCTTTCAGCACCTTGTTGAATCAATGCCACGTAGAATTAAGGCAGTTCTGAAGGCGAAAGGGGGTCAAACACAGTATTAGTATGGTGTTCCTAATAATCCTTTAGGTGAGTGTATGTGAAAATCAGTATGTATGTTTAACGTCACCTATGCTGTCGATGTTAAGATTCTTTTTAAAGTCGTCATGAATTCACAATTGATTGTGAACAACTAATTTGTGTTAATTAAGTTAAGTTAATACACAGAATTGTTTGGGCGTTTTTTCATGGTAATCTTCAATCAAAATCTAAAAATTTGCTTCCGCTCTGGAATGGCGTTCCGTCTCTGATGACGTCGGTTTAACGGCTTGGGTTGAATATCTTTAACCACTCCCTCCAACCGTCAGTCTGTATTGAGCGAGGGATGGAGAGGAGGTGTGCTAAAATAAAACCCGCCCTCTATTCAATATTCCGTTTCACTTGGAAATACGTCACAACACGGAAGTAAAGTCGGTTGCAACTTCCGGTTCATGGGAAAAAATACTGCAGTCTTTCTTAGGTCTTTACTTTATTAAAATTAGGCAAAACAAACAGACACATGTTTATGTTCACGAGCCATCACGTATTTGCGAGCTTTCAGCAATAATCTCTTTTGCCCGATTTTGGGCTGTCCCAGATGAAAGATGACTAATCGTTGTGATTTCTGTGGTCGTGGCTCCTAAACGTCGTACAGTGAGAGAGGTTGTCACTGTCTTGCGACCTGCGATACTTTTCTGACTGTGTCAGAAATTGAGCATGATCATCTCACAGTGTGTTTGCTGCTATGACCGATGTTTACTGACTAACCAAAAAAAATGCAACATGAAATGGCGTATTGATCATTGCGACATGGCGCTAAAACTTAAAACTACTCAAGCTCCATTTGCAAAACTGGCATGCCAAGTTGCCAACTCTTTTCCCTAGCCATGACCGCATCCATATTCTCCTCTTTTTCCTTCCTCCTCTTTTTTTCAGCACACATAAAAACCACAATTGCCAAAGTGTGATTAATCTTGCTCTATTTGTTTACCACTAGCGCATGCTGATGACGTTTTATTCTTCTATACTAACTTGCGTCGTAGCCTACGATTCAATAGGTGTCATCATCGTACAATCTACATACATGTTGTACAAAGTTTATTAGATCCATTTTGTACAGTGTGATTTGTAATGATCTTTATGTGCTTAGCACGAGCAGTGAAGGAATGTACAGTACGGGCAATAGTAATAGTGATTCTTGCCTTGGCAATCACTTAATTATACAATGCTACTTGTACTTAAATTCTTTTTTTTTTTTTTTTAGGCATTATCACAGCATTGAAGTGTTCACGCATTATGACCTCCTCACACTCAACGGAAGCAGAGTGGCTGAAGGACACAAAGCCAGTTTCTGTCTGGAAGACACCTTCTGTCCTGAGGGTAAAAGAGTAGCTACGTTAAAGCTTATACTAATGCAAATTGGTTTATGAGAGCAAACAAAAGTGTTTTTGTGTTTATCTCCAGGACTTCACAAACGCTTTTCATGTTACAATTATGGAGATCAAGGCATTTCAGTGGGTTGCTGGGACACGTACCGCCACGACATCGACTGCCAGTGGATAGACATCACCGACGTGAGACCTGGAGACTACATCATGCAGGTGAAATGATTCAGAACATCTGAACGGTGGAAGACGGCAGTCACGCACAAAACATTTTTCACTATTCTTTCAAGAGTAGATTCTCTTTTCAGGATGCAGTTTTTCCACTTTTTCTCTGTCATTAACTTTGGAAACATGTTAATCATCCCAAATCACTGTGGGCACTTCCGCAGCTGAGCTTCACACGCAGAACCAGCCAATCAAAGAGCCGCTTTAGGGGCCAATCAAGAGGCCTTTTATACATCCCAGTTGTAAAATATAGGTTGATGTGAAGCTTTGTTTTAATTACAGTGTACCTTCGTGCTCTGACCTTTTTGAAGATTTATTTGCTCGAAATGTCGCCATGATAGATTTGCATATATTTTAAGCACGTTTGGCAGATGCTAATTACAAACCGGGATCGGGCTGCTGCTATATATGGCATAGCAAGGAGCAGTGGTGATAGTCAAAAGGTCAGAGTTACCATCTGATGCCAGCTATCCCATGCCAACCCTGTCTGAGCAAAGACGCTGTGTAAATGAAGCATCTATACTTCATGAACCAGACAAACTTGTTGCTCTTTCCTTGTCTTGTCTTTAATTAATTCTACACCTAAAATAACCCAATGCTAAGCTTTCCCTGCTGGAGGAGAAAAGCAGGCTATATCCCCTTCTATTAGACATGGCCAATTACGTTCAGAGTAATTTACTCCCGTCAGTTTTACAGGTGCTTTCTCGCTCAAGAATATGCTCGGACCCAGATCTCTACAGTCCAGCGTTAAAGTTGCACACTGTTAATAAAAGTGCAAACAAAATAAGTGAGACTTGAATGTGCTCACAGAATAATTACCTTTGGCTACTAGGAACAATATTTCAACAGTGTTGAAAATAAAATAACTGTTGTATCAGCATTCAAAAAGTTCTCAAGCCTAGTAGGCATAATCACATTCAATTTATAAGGTACTGTTGCTCAAACATGCTCTTTTGACTTCATACCCTGCTTACAGCATCTTGTTGGACTATTAAATTATTATATTGCGATTTTATAACAGTAATTTGAGAGTCTGGTTTGGTGGAGCCAATTTGTAAAGTGGTTTGATGAGCAATCTGTTTGCATAACATTTCCTTACAAGTTCCACGTCCTTATTGGTTCTGCATGTCTGCAACTTTGAAACTTTTACAATGCCATAATGCAATTATACCAATAGTATTATTTCAGGCTGGCATTGTAAAAAAAAAACCAACCCAACAAATTCTATTTTTAATACAGTTCATCTTTAATTCATTATATAATTATTAGGCAAGTCGATATTCTGTTCATATTTTTTCCCCAAGCACATTTTACCAATTCCAAACCCAATAACTACTTTAATTTTTTTGTATATAGTCTTTTAGAAGTGATCTTTAACTGTTAGCGAGGGTTTTAAGTGTAAAACACCTTACATTCAGTTGTGCATAATTATTGAGCAGGTTTTCTTTTACAGGTAAAATGGGCCAAAAAGGAGAATGAACTCATACTGAAAAGTCAAAATGATTAACTGCCCATTGGAAGGATTCTATAGAAATTGCTAAATTAAAGGGATAGTTCACCCAAAAATGAAAATTTTGTCATCACTTACCCTCAAGTTGTTCCAACCCTGTGTATGAGTTTCTTTCTTCTGTTGAACACAAAAGAAGATGTTTTAAAGCATGCTTGCAATTAAACATTTGACAGAAGCCATTGACTTCCATAGTAGGAAAACAATACTATGGAAGTCATTAAGTCTGGTTACAAACATTCTTTAAAATATATTCTTTTGTGTTCAACAGAAGAAATAAATTCATACAGGTTTGTAACAACATGAGGGTGAGTAAATGAGGAAAACATTTTTATTTTTGGGTGAACTATCCCTTTAAGGAGTGTCCGTTGGAAAGGAATGCTCATTGGGGCAACAGGGTCACCAAGAACAGGTTGAGAAGAAAATATAGTAATTTGAAAGATATTAACCCTATAGTCTCCAGTGCCACCATTTTCAAGAAATGCAAACCACCTGGAGTCTAGAAGTACAAGGTGTAGAAGTACAAGACCATAAACTGCTTAAAAAAAAAAAAAAATCCAGAGGGAACCCATGGTAAATTGTCCTTCTGGGTTGCCCTAGAAATTGACATAATTACTGAACGGTTCTATTCATTCTTGTGTGTGTTTTGTCAGGTTGAGGTAAATCCGTCCCTGGATATGGCTGAATCAGACTTTATGAACAACATCATGCGTTGTCGATGTAAATATGATGGACACAGAGTGTTTATGTACGGCTGCCATGCAGGTATGATCCCCATATCAATGAGTGATTCACAACATGCATGCACTAGTATCTAAATTCCCTGTCTGATACACTCTTCTTTCACAGGTGATGCCTACAGCGCCGAAATCGAGGATTTATTTGAACATCAGCGTCAGATCAGCAATAACTTCATCTGAGCCTGTAGGTGAGAGGAGGGAATGAGTCCTGGAAATGTGGCTTTCTGGACAATAAACTGAGTGAAAGAGAAAGAGATCTTGTCAACTGATCTCAGAACAGTCTACCAGTAGCACCACAGTGGAAGAGATCTGCTACATTTTTAAAGGGGTCATGACATGGATTATTTTTATTGTTTTCATATGTTTCTTGAGGTTCACTGATAATGTTAATGCAGTTTTGTTGCACTCACACACACAAAAACAAATATATATGCAGAAAAACAATTATTATATTCTGACCCTCTGTCTGAAGTGATCAGTTTTTAAGGGGCGGCTCCTTTAAGATTTGTCAGTTAATGGCCACTGTTATGATTGGCTAATGCATTGCATAGGAAACAGTATCAACGTCCACTCGGTATTACACGCGAGTAAGTGTTTTGAAAACTTTATCCACATATAACCGTAATTTACAGACAAAGCATTATGAAATCATTTACTTACGGTTTGTGTAGCTGCTGTCAATTTCAAAAAAGTTGTCCGCTTCATCTTTCAACACAAGTTTCTTTGCGAATGCTCTATTAGATTGTGCCTTGTTTACTAAACAAAATGCAACGGACAAACATATAGCCACTAAGCGACTGAACGCCAGTGGCTGGGGCCTATGGTGTGATGATGTATAACTATATTAATGTCTTCCTCTGGAGTCAGGCATATGCAAATGTTTTTGCTTGTGTGATGCAACAAATCCCACAATATCCAAATGAGCCGTTTTTGGAGCTTGATTAAATAAATGCTTTGTTTTTTTACTACAAAACTTGCAGGACTTTTTAATGGTAACAAGACCTCTTATATCTCAAAAGATCAAAGCAAATTTGATTTCTCATATCATGACCCCTTTGAATGGTTTTCTCCATGGAATTGTATTTAGTCTAGCAGATGTTTGAAAGTCAATCGAAAGAATAGAACTTTAGGATTAGTTCACCCTAAAATGAAAATTCTGTCATCATTTTTCTTAGTCTTTTGTATTTGTCTTTTCCCACTTTTATTATTCTCAAAAGAGTAGAATCCAATAATAAATAAAGTCAGAATTTGTATTTTTGGGTGAACTGATGCTTTAGTTATTATCCATTGAACTGGGACATTGTATTAATAGACTAAGTTGCAAATGTTGCGAGTTTAAAATAAAACATGCAAAATTTGTAGTTCTTGGGACCATAAGACTATTAGAAAATAACTTTTTTTTTATTGTTGTCTACATGTACACATATTTATTTCCTGACATTTTAGAATATTATAGAATAATAAATATGTTGTTATAGAACAAATGCATCTGTATAATTTGACATTTTTCATTACATTTACCCCCATTACATTTAATTACAATATGATCTATTTTATATGACATCCAAATGCAGTGTGTTCACTTTTTTCTGCTCATTTATGAGTTTTATATCGTTAGTTTTATAACTTCAATTCTTCTGTTTGAGTTAAGCACTTTATTGATGAACCGTCAGTATTCTGGTAGAAATGGGTCATTCACTACCATATTTCAACACACATCTCTTTGTTTGTTTGTTTGTTTATTAACAAATTGCGTATTCTATACCTTCTTTCCATTTTTGATAGACCTTTTCATTATTTTTCAGTGACTTTCCTAAATCCTAAAAGATAATAAAGGATGTCGTATATGCTAAAGATTAATTTATTTAATACATTGTTAAAAAGCAACATTTCTGGATGAGAGTTTTATTAGTTTGACAATGCATAGTATTAATAAATGCTTGCTAAATGGTTGACTGCTTTAATAGTCATTTAACATCTTGGAGCTTTGACTTGTGGATGAATGGAACGTGTTTTCTTAGTGTAGCGTGTACTTGAAGCTTTTTTAACATCTACGAGTACAAAGGAGTATGTTGTCACAATGTCCTGAAAAAAAAAAAAGTAGTGTAAAGCATAAAAGGGATGCTGGGAATACTATGAAGAGCTCACTACGGCATTTATTGATGAGTTCAAATCTAGCTTGAATAATATTTATGGGCCAGAGCATTACATAGTCTTAGTCTATACATCTAAAAAGTCATTTTTTTGAGCTGTACTGTATGTATCAGTCTTTATGTTTGTAATTATTTGCACAGTACAAGACGCTGTTAAACAATGGTTATTGTGCATGTAATGAACTGACATGTAATTTGTTCCTACTGTTTATCTCAATGTTAATTGTCTTAAAGTATAATCCATAATGGTTGATTTCATGAACACACGAGTGATTTTCCTTAAGTGAATCATCTGTGCCCATTTTATGTGCATAGATCAACTTTATGTACTTTCCTTTTTCACGAAATACTGTTTTTGTAAGATCATAAATATGACTTATTCTGTGCCTCTATTGTGTACCTTATGTTACTCTTGAACTGTTATTTCATCTATACCTTTATTTATGATTTGCATGTTACCATATGATCTTAATATTATTTGTGCATAAATTGATTTCAGTCCATAATTCACAGCAAACTTTTTTTATATATATTATTATCTTCTGGTGCTAATTGTGCACTTTTCTGGGAGTTTTTCATGGAGTAGTTGAGAGTTTAAGCTCTTATTGTAATTTGCAATACTCTCAGGGATGAAATATGTGTGTTCAAAATTATTTAAGATCACTTTGGACAGCCAGGACACAAATAAATGGGGAAAGTAATACCAAAATCATTCCAGAAACTCCAAACGTGATGTAAAACTCTTGTTACTGTTCTGTGATGAGTGTTACAGTGGTCAATGCAAACAACTGATCTCAAATGTGAATAAATATGGCGTATCAGGTCTCATTTAGCTACCTATACTCTGTTTTTCTGCTCACTGTGTACCGTGATCCATTGCACAGGGACTCCATTATCAATAAATGTGTGTTTGTGAAAGACTGTTTTTGTTTTCAAATCAAAATTAATGTAATACATTTATGGCTGCTTCAGATGAGGGGAAAAAAAGGTTGAAACAATTTTACTTTGACAAAAAAAAATACTCATATTTTATAATTCTACTATATTGTAGTTGTAATTAATTATATAATATCTGTAACTGTTATATAATCAGTTATATAACAGTAAACACGACTGACTTTTATTTTATAAATTGATCAAAAGTGACATTAAAGGGATAGTTCACCCAAAAATTTTAATTAGCCCATGATTTACTCACCCTGAAGCCATCCTAGGTGTATATTACATTCTTCTTACAGACAAATACAATCGGAGTTATATAAAAAAAAATGTCCTGGCTCTTCCAAGCTTTATATTGGGAGTAAATGGGTAGGCCTATATTTTTTTGGAAGTCCATCAAAGTGCTAGCCTGGATGCCAGGCCGAACCCCGCCCACAACATTTTTTGGTCGGGATTCGGTCTGGACTCGATCCATTGAGGAGTAATTATGATCGGTTCAGAAATCGTCGGGCCAATCAAATTGCCAGGGCGGGCTTTATACGATGATGGACAGATGATCTGCAGTTACGTAATCATCACGTTATCAAAGAGCGCTTGGGTTGAACTGGTTTCCCTCAAAGATGACTGCAGCTGGAGAACTAGATGTATTCCGCTATCGCGTCTGTTGTAAAAGAAATCGACAGCGCATTAATTTTAAAAGACGAACAGAGAACTGCAATCAAGGCATTTGTCGATCGGAAAGATGTGTTTGCCGTCCTTCCTACGGGATTCGGCAAAAGTTTATTTTATCAGCTGGCTCCGATGGTCGCTAAGAAGATGGGACGCAATGAAAACCCTGCGGTCGTTTGTCTTTTCTCCTTTGGTCGCACTCATGGAGGACCAAGTAAAAGAAGTAGCACTCATTATTTTACTACTTCTTCCGTGCGTGTAGTTGAGTTCTGTTGACAATATGCGTAGCTCATAAAAAAAAACACTTAGGCTACTGCGTTGCTCTGATTGGTTGTAGTTCTATCCAATTGAGTGCAGAGTTTTTTTTTTTTTTTCCTGGTTCGGTTAAGACACGCCTCATAATCAAAGCCCTATGGAGCAGTATCAGACTCACATTCTGACTAGAATACGAGTATGACGAAGTCAGGCTATCAAAGTGCATCCATTCATGATAAAAGTGCTCCACACGGCTCTGGAGGGTTAATAAAGGCCTTCTGAAGTGAGATGCGTTTGTGTAAGAAAAATATTCATATTTAAAACTTTATCGACTAAAATAACTAGCTTCCGGCAGTGAATGGGAAAATTGGAAGAGCCAGGACATTTTTTTTTAGTATAACTCCGATTGTATTCATCTGAAAGTAGAATGTAATATACACCTAGGATGGCTTCAGGGTGAGTAAATCATGGGCTAATTTTAATCTTGGGGGGAACTATCGTTTTTAAAGGCATTTATAATGTTACAAAATATATCTATTTCAAACAAATGCTCTTCTTTTGAACTTCCTCTTCATTAAAGAATCCTTAAGTGCGTCTCAGTTTTCAAAATCGAAACTGTTTTCAACAGTGACTACGTTTACATGCAGCCAATAACCCGTAGTCACTGACTACGTTTACATGCAGCCAATTTTCGGGTTATGGTCGGGTTAAGGTCACTATTCGGGTTTCTGAAACATTAGGAATAACCCGTTTACATGCGTGAGCAGAGAGAGTTTCTCCTGTATACATGGAATTGCAATATCCCGATGTAAACGGCGACGCACGGTTAGGGTCAAGACGTACGGACAACCTTAAGACGCAATATGCGTCATTTCCGATTCTTCTTCCTGTATCCAAAGACAACAACAACAGCAGCAGCACGCGGATAGTGAATAGTTCGGGGCAGATAGCGATCGCCTTTGTTTGCGCTTTGGTGCTGGTACTGACCTCGCTCCAAAAGTATGCTGTGCTGCGTCTCGCCATGTTTACTTCCGGTATACTGCACGCAGGTTTTTGTATGCGCCGAGAAGTTCCTCTACTCAAAAGACCAAGATTCCTTGCGAATAGAACATGTGCAGAACACAAATCACTATGGGGATATGCCGATGCGCGTTTACATGACCAAAGGTTCGGGACCGGAGTAAAGATAGTTTGCGGTTTGATTTTCAGTTTTCGTTTCGCTGTGGTCCCGCAGTGCGGTGTCGTGGACATGAAAATAATATCTCATGTCGTTATTCATGATTTGTGAATTTGTGTAACGGCGTTTCTCCGGGTCAAAATCTTTTATTTATTTT